ATTTAAAGACCTGCAAATTAAGAAAATGATAACCTGGGGCACCTGGGTGGCTCAGTGGGTTAAAGCCTCTGCTTTCGGCTCAGGTCATGATCTCAAGGTCCTAGGATCGAACCCCACATCGGAGTCTCTGCTCAGCAGTGAGCCTGCTTCCCTCTCTCCCTCTCTCTGCCTGCCTCTCTGCCTGCTTGTGATCTATGTCTGTCAAATAAATAAATAAAATATTTAAAAAAAAATGATAACCTAATAGAAAAGTGGGTAAAAGATACAATTGGCATTTCACAGAGTAGGAAATACAAATGTTTCATAAACATGTGAGAAGCAGCTTCAGCTAATTAGTAACCATAGAAATACCAGTTAAAAGCACCATGTGATACTATTATAAGCTTGCCAAATAGAAGACTGATGATAACAATTTGGTTAGTATGTAGGCTATGATTATGCGCTGATGGTAGCTGTATCTTTTGGCACAACCATTTAGGAAACATTTTGACACCATGTAGTAAAATGGAAGAGGAATCTCTCCTTTTATTCACCACCCAGCTCCACTCCTACCTGAGAGGGGAGTGGCTTTCAAGCTATTTTGGTCATAATCCACACTGTCAAATAATATTTTACAAGGGGACCCAGCACTCCTTAGAACAAAAACAAAAAGCATCAACAAAGAATACTTATCCTTACTGCTTGTGTGTTAAATTCTAAAACGTTCAGTTCTCTTTCACTTAAAGAAACTGTCAACAATTTCTAATCAGATTTAAGAACCACCTAATGGATCTACCATTAAAAAATTCTTACACATAGGTACAGGGAGACATGTGCAAAATTTCTGCTTTCAGCATTGTTCATCATAGCCAAAAACCCAAAGCAGTTCAAATCCCACCAATAGGTGAGTAAATAATAAAATAACTTAATATTATAAGCAGTGAAAATGAGATTCTGTTTATATCTAAAAATGTGAATGAGTTCGAGAAATATGTTGAGTGGAGGAAGAAAATCACAGAAATTTATTAAAAAGATGATGAAATTAAAAAAACATCTCAAAGATAATGTTTAGGAGAATAGTCACAGCTTATGGAAGATTACGTTTCTTCCAGACCGTTCTACAAACACACACACGCGCACACACGCACATGTGCTTATTGAAAGTCACTGGCTTTGGGTCATTTTGGTTTCTCTGGGACAAAAAGGTGTGATGCTATAATGTATATTTAAACTTGTGGCAAAGTTCTCATTATATTATGCAGAACACAAATTATGATGGGAAGTAATTGTGCGCTCATTTTCTTTTGGAATACACACATGTATGTACATGTATTTGACATTTATCTCTGTTTGTATATACTTATTTATTAACTATGTGTTTTTATAGAGCTATTTTAGGGTCTCCTATTACCATAAAATGCATGTGAGCCTTAGGAGCTCGGGTAAATTATTGATTATGACTTCCAAGTGAACAGTCAAATGTGACTGAAGTTTTTTTTTTTTTTTTAAAGATTTTATTTATTTATTTGACAGAGATCACAAGTAGGCAGAGAAGCAGGCAGAGAGAGAGGAAGGGAAGCAGGCTCCTGCCGAGCAGAGAGCCTGATGCGGGGCTCCATCCCAGGACCCTGAGATCATGACCTGAGCCGAAGGCGGAGGCCCTAACCCACTGAGCCACCCAGGCGCCCCGTGACTGAAGTTTTAAAATTGTCTGTGGTCATTGCCCAGAGATCTTTCAGGCAGGAGCATTTGCCAGGCTATCTCAGGGACATTCTGCAAGCACCCAGAGAAGTTTTTTTGGCACTGCATAACTGAAAGTACTTGGTACAGTTCAATTTATTTGCCAGTTGACTAAATAGAAAACCAGGTCGAGAATAAGGTAAACATTGCATAATGTATATAAACTCGTCAAATCACTTAAGTTGCGCACTTGAAACTAATGTAACGTGTGTGAACTATACTAGAAATAAAAAATTAAAATGAGAGGATTAAAAAATTAATGTCTTGTAGCTATCTTCATGTACAGCTCATAACTTTTCTTTCTAGCTTTGTATTTAGAATGGAAGTAACCAAGAGTCAATTGTGTCTAGAAAAATGTGGTTCTCTAACTGTTCATCTTTTCTGTTTTCTGCTACTTTTGCTTCTCAACATTTAGAACAAAAGAAAATTCCCAATTACTGTTTGAACTGGGATATTAGTTTCAGACTAAATACCTATTTCTATGCTGTCTGTTGGTATTTTTCCAGCCAAAATTCTTCTAGTAGTTATAATGTCAGAATAAGATATGTTTTAAATGAGATTGGCTTTTAAATGAAAATCAATAGTGCATTTTCCATAAAACAAAATAACTTTAAGAACTACTTCAGAACTTATTCCTTAAATGTAAACATTATTTTTATAGGTCTTAGGAAGTAATTTTGACTTTTTATTGCCCAGTGGAATACTAAAAGGGTGTGGCAATTATGTCTGGTAATAGGTTGTCTATTAAGTGTTCTCATTGAAATGCATCCAGTCATTAAAGTAGAAAATTTACATTGGAAAATTTTGTACTTTAATAAGTTTAATAGGTAAGCTACATGAAATATATCTTTTTTCTTTATCGTAGTTTCCTCTTACTCATTTCCCTGAAGCAAGAAATACAGTTTTGATTTCTGAATAGTTACCTTTTTCTCTACCACAATCCAGTCTCCCTGTCTCCCTTACCTATACGCACGTGGCTACCCATGTGCGTGCATGCACACACACGTATACATGCTTGTCTTTGAAACCACACTTGTCTTCTACTTTAATGCTCCCTTTTCTGACCTTTTTTGTGTTGATTTTTATAGCAGCCATTGTCTTAGAGTTGGTGCTGAACACACACTCCCGTACGTCTGAAACAGCATGGTGGAAAGGACATACCCTATAGGCAGCCTTCCCGTCCTGGCTCTTCCTACATTCATTATAATGAGCAACGCTTGAACCATTCTATGCCAAATAGAGAATGCAGAATCCATTTTGAGGATTGGAGGGATTGCATGGGAAAGCATCTATTACTGCCGCTGGCATTTCTTAGCTTAGTAGTAATAGTGTTCATGTATGTCATGAACTGTGAGGAGTAGGAGAATTTAGCTAGTTAGCCTGCCATCGTTTCATGGATGTTGGCAAAAAACACAAGACTATGGAGTCAAAGGATTTAGTACAGCAATAGCGCTAGCCAGAGTCAATGGTTGTATAGATTCCTGAGTCTATATTCCCAGAAGGCAATGTGAAGAAGGCCAGATTTCATACCTATGTGCACAATGGTTTGTATTACTGGAATGAAATCCTGAACTTAGGGAACCCAATCTTTTTTGAAGGGTAGTAAGACGGCTTGACCTTTGCCCCAGCTTTCCTACTGGTCACTGAACAAATCCATTTATTTAAGAGTGAGACCCTACCTCTATCTTCCAAGACTGTTCATAATATAAGTATCTTTGAAAAGATCATTTGTAACAAAGGTTCTTCTTGTACCTTAGAGTGCTTGGTCTTGCACTCTCCTGCTTAAAAATCTCCAGTTTTCCAAGAAAATGCCACCTTCCTATCTTGGCTGGCACACCCTAAGTGATCAGGCTTCCATGTATCTCCTCACCTCCTCTTCTATCATCCCACTGGCCTTCTATCTTTCTCTCAAACCCACCAACAGCCTTTGCATTTGCACTTGCCCCAGGTTATCACCTAGTTAGCTGTTTAACATTGAAGATTCAGCATGAATCAAACAGTGAGTGAGGCCTTATCTGACCACCTCACTGTAATGTAACTTCCCAAGCATTCTATCACATCACTTGTTTTTTTTCATGGTAGAATATTTCTCAAACTCTTATTATTTATTATCTATCTTTGCTTCTTGGTCCACCCTATCACACAGAATAAAAACGTGTTTTAGACCTATAGATACATCCATGCATATATTTGTCATATACAAATGTGACACATACATGTCGAGTGCTTTTCAGAATACCACTTACTACTCAGTGTCTTGGTATTTATTGCATGAAGGGATGGATGGATGAATTCGTATGGCCTCTACTCTAGGCTTTTTTTCCTCCTTTTTTCCCCACGTACTTCTCATCATTTTGGTCAACAATATTAAATTTTGCTATTTGATTTCTAATGAAGACCATGCACTTTCTCTAGGGTTAACACAAACAAGATTATGACAGTAGAGAAAGGAAAGTTTTCCCCAAAAATAACATAAGCCACCTACTTGTTAAAGTTTAGTTATATAGTTTTCTATTTAATACTATGAGTGATAAATGAACAATTAGTCCGTTTGAATCCCTTGGTACTGAGAACACAGTCTTTATCAGAGACTATAGTATGTGCTATCCTGTTTGTTGGCACATAGAAAAGTCTTTATCTACCTGTTAATTCATACTAATGCCAGGTGAGAGGGGTTTCTTGATTTGTAAAAAACTTAGAAAATAAGAAATTAAACCACATATCTATTCAGGATCCTATAGTTCACATGTTATTGGTTTTGAGGAGAAGTTAGTGGTCTAGCTCTGAAATGCCAAATATTCCTCTAGTCATCCTATGACACTTGTCTTCATGTGAGAGAAATTGTTAAGTGATGGACTGTAACATGAAACAGTCATTGCAAAATTTCAACTCTTTTCTGCCATTTCTTTGACTACTTTTCTGGTACTCAGTAGTTTACCTGCAGAAGATGTATGGAAGGCTCTAATACATTTGCTAGACCCTCTTTTGGAAATATATATAAGGAAGCAGTTTTGATTTGTAAATTAAATGATTTTTATTTTTAGTTTCTGTCTCCCTTCTCTTAGTTGATTCCACTAAGATGCAGGTGCTTCAAACATACGCTATATTTATAGATCCATATTTAACAAGGGTTCCTGTGCTAATCTTTTAAAAGACTGTGTTACTAATATTAGAAGTAGCCATTATCTAAAAGATATTTAATCACAGTTCTACAGATTAATAATTTTTGTGGAATCGCTGTGGTTAAAAATTGATCATTTTCCAAAATTTGTTTGTAACAGCAAGCAAGAAAGGAGAACATCAAAAAAAGAGAGGCAGAGGAAAGGGAAAAACGTGCTCAAATAGCCAAAGAATTGGCAGAGAAAGAAAGACTTGAACGCCAACAAAAGAAAAAACGCTTATTAGAAATGAAGACTGGTGAGTACTATCAGATTTGCTATTTGTACTGGTTATTAGCAATTTAATAAACTACTGTGAAAAAAGAAGGTGGGATCACCTATATGTATAGTTAAACTGTAGAGCGTTTCCCCCTTTAGTTTACTCACAAGTAGTGCTTTTATTCTAACTGGTCATTGGTTGTAGATGACATTGGTCCCCTGGCCTATTCTTGTAGTCCCAGTATATTCACACTGTTATAGAACTTGTTATAGAACAACTTATGGAAAACTGGGAAATTCTACTGGACAAGTAACTTGTTTTTTTCAACAAAATACTCTAAGGGAGGGAAAAAGTGATGGAGGGAAATGTATTGATTAAAAGAGTCTTAAGAGACTTATCAGCCAATTGCAATAAATGGAACCTACATATATTCTAATCTAAATGAGCATGGACAAAGGCAGTCTGAAAAATTTGAATACTTTTTTTTTTCCCTGTAGACATGACACTGTTGTCGTGAATATGTTATAAAGTATCTTTTAGAGACTTATCCTGAAATTTTACAAACAAAATTATGTCTGAGATTTCAATTGAAATAGTCTACTATGACCAGGGAAATAGGCAGGTGTGTAGATGAAACAAGATTAGCTAGAAATAATAATTGCTGAACTTGTGTGATGGGTGCTTGAAGGGAAGGGTATGTTCACTATACTGTTTTCTCTACTTCTATATATTTTGAAATTTAATGAAAGCTCTTGGAAAAAAATATAAAAATTACAGTTTTACAAAGATATATATGTATATATTTCAAAACTAGAAGATACCACTAACTTAGAAGCAAAAGAATTAAGTAAATTGTAGTTACATTTCATTCCTTCAAAATTCTGGCTCTTCCACCTCTAAGCCACTAAGGATTGCAGAAGGCTTTAATTAAAATCCATCAACTTCACTGCTAAATTACCATAGTTTACAACTCAGAGCTGCAAATTCACCTAAAGTTTCCCCAGGGGTAGACAGAGATGCCTTTTTTGCCTTTTTTACTTTCACTTTTACAGACATATTTTATCTTTAATAAAGCAAACTGAGTACCTTAATGTATCACACATGTTTCTTCCAGGAGGAAAAAAAAAAAAAATCATCTAAGCACAGTTTCTTGTTTAAAAGAGTACACTTGAAATTCATGAAGTGTTCTCAAAAATATCTTAAAGTATTAACTAAAATGGAGATCAGAAAGGTTTAACATTGATTTTAATGTTTCTGGAAATCATTTTAAGATAATTGACTACTGCCTAATTTACCAGACATTCTTATATTTGAACACTGATTCATTTAGTATTGGCCAAAGTGTCATCTGGTTGAGTTGATAGCAAGCACAAGGGCTGTATTATTTGTGCGATTTGCCCAGACCCTCTGGTCTGTCATATAGAGCCTCTCTGCAATTCTCTGTTCTATCAACCTGGAAAGTTAAAACCTGATAGGAAACAAAAATTTTTAACGAAATATTAAATCCAATGTCAACTCAATATTTTCATTTAAATTTTCCTTCTCTTGAAAGCATTTTATTTTTAAGAATAACCAAGTTCATTCTGTTTTTCCCATTTAAAAATAATACTGTTGTGTTACAGAAAACACCTAAAAAGTAGTTGATCAAAAGACCATTACCCATAATCCTCCTATCCAAAAAATCCCTTTTACTATTTTGGCACATCTTTCTTTAAGTTTTAAAATTTTCTACCTTTTAATAATAGCTGTATGATAGTAGTGAATATGCTGTTTAGCATCTCACTGAACTTTCTGAATGTTTCCTGTTATTTTTGTGATTCTTAATTTGTAATTTGCAATACCTATGTCATTGCATTCACTGGATATATCATATCGAATATAATTTTCATTAGTCATAATGAGGTTACAAACACAGCTATTGCCATCTTTTCAATGTGATACATTTATACATAAATGGTTGACAAATATTTGTAATTCTTAGGATATGGATTAGAAAGGGATAGTTTAAGACTTTTTGATGCATGTTGCCAAACTGATTTCCAAAGGCATTATGCCAATTTCACCAACTTTTCGTATTAGTTTATGAAAATGCTTTGGTTGAATATTCTCATATTTATTTATTTATTTATTTTAATATTCTCATTTTTAAAGATTTTTGTTAATTTAATAAAATAGAACATTTTCTTTTATCTTAATTTACCTTTCTGTGAGTACTAATGAAGTTGGGCATTTTTTTAAGTATTTATTAGTCCATTTGTATTTCATTCTTTGTGAATTGTGTTCTTAGTCTTTCTCTTATTGATTTACACACATTAGCTCATTGAGCATCAATATTTACCTTTTAAATATATTTCCTCACTTTGGCTATCTGTTTTTATATCTTTATATATAAAAATGTTTTATAATTTTTGCTTTTGTGATTTTTTCATCTTTAAATTTAGAAAGTCATCTTTACAGCAGCTTTGTATCATTTCAATTTTTTACTAGCTTCAGTTATTCATTATACTATTCGCTCCACTTAATGGTAATTCTTAATCATTCATATACTAGGGTCCATTTCTGAAATGTACCAAAACTGTTCTAATACTTACCCACCAGTTATGGTTAATAATTGGTATTTATATTGGTTTCACATAGGTAATTTTGTGTTGAGAACATTAGTTCTCTTTTCCTCCAATATAGTTAACATACAGTATAATATTAGTTTCAGGTATACAATATAGTGATTCAACAATTCTATGCAACACCCACCGCTCATCACAAAATGTGCACTCCTTAATCCCCATCACCCATCCCCTCACCCTCCTCCTCTCTGGTAGCCCTTCAGTTTGTTTTCTATAGTTAGGAGTCCATCTCTTGGTTTGCCTCTCGCTCTCTCTCTGTCTCTTTGCTCACTTTTGTTGTTATTTCTTAAATTCACATGTAAGTGAAATCGTATGATATTTCTCTTTCTCTGATGAATTTAACTTAGCATTACCCTGTCTAGCTCCATCCATGTCATTGCCTATGGCAAGAGTTTATGGCTGAGTAATATTCCATTGTATATCTATACCACCTCTTGTTTATCCCTTCATCAATCGATAGACCCTTGGGCAGCTTCCATAGTTTAGCTACTATAAATACGCTGCAATAAACACAGGGGTGTATGTATCCCTTTGAATTAGTGCTTTTGTATTTTTTAAATAATTACCAAATAGTGCAATTACTGATCAGATCATAGCATAGTTCTATTTTTAACTTTTTGTGGTTGCTCCATACTGTTTTCTACAGAGGGTGTGACAGTTTGTGTTCCCAAGAGGATTGTACTTTCCTTTTCTTCATTGTTAAACTCAGTATGAATTTTTTTAAATAATGGTTTCTCTGCATCTTTTGTGAATCCTAGAGCTTGTCTTATTTGCCTATTGAATTATCTTATAAAACTTTTATACTATATCTTCCCAAGCATGATCTGGGTCTCAAATAAATGTAGGGTTCTCACCTGATAGACGTTCCCCCCAAAACCTTAATATCCTAAGGTCCCTATATGCCCAATATTTTGACATTTTGCAGGAGAGTGTTCTTCAAAAGATAGTCTGGGTAACATTAATTTATATAGATGATATTAAATAAATACTTTAAGACAATATATCTTTAGATACTCTATATTATGTGTGAATATTTTAATAGATTTACTCAGAAACTCATTTGATAGGAAAGAAAACTATCACATAGGAAACTACTTTTAAAAACATTTGAAAATTTTGGAAATCAGCTTTGAATTTCTTTTTTTTCCTATAGCCTATGGACTTCTAAAAATCTAAGGATATATCCCAAATTTCAGAGCACCTAAACATATAATATCCTCACCAAAGGGAAACATCTCTTCTAAAACCCTAATAAATGATGACTTCCCAAATAGTTTTTAGTTTTCCTTTGAACATAAGGTTGCTAATATAGAAGAACAGTGTAGTCAGTCTCTTACTATAGCGGCTATAGCTAAGTTAGTCATATAAGTATTAAATGTATTATTATTTGTTGATACCTTTTTTACATTTAAAAATAGTACACATATGCAATCATCTTTTCCTTTCCATGTTAGATGCAGAATATGCTTTTTGTCAAATCATGATTTTCATAACCTTTGGAGGCTTTATGAAATAGAAGTCAATAAAGTAGTATGTCTAATTAATGCTTAATTATGAAAATATTCTTATGCAAAATATCAGGTTTTGATACTCTTAACAGATACACTGGATTTCATGCATTTCCTATACTTGACAAATACTATCTTTAGTTAAAATATTGTATCACTATGAAAAATATAAGTGCTATGGTTTTCCACTTAATTAGTATAGAAAAGAAATTTAATAGGTCACTTGTGTTTTATTTAACAAGAAATAGTTTTTGTATTTAAATGCTGGGATTACATTGATAGATAAGAATAAATACAGTCCCTGATGGAATGAAGTTTGTAATTCTAATGGGTCAACCAGAAAACCACATGTAAAAGATAATTTCAGATTGTAAACAGTTATCTGAACTAAAACAAGGTGGGACAACAAGACAGAGATGCTGGCGTGGTGGGTGGTGGTGACAAAATTTGGTCTTCAAGAACTAAGAGTACTACTAATTTATTTAAGAATACATACTAATTTAAAATATTGGTTCTAAAACTCCTTAGAAATTGATAGGAAAAATAACCAGGTTCATGTTCATATCTTATACTATATATGCTAATATGGTTTATTTTTTAAATCCTGTGAGCTAAAACTCTAATTTTTCCTTGTGGGTGTTCTATTTTAGTACAGAATGTCGTACTGCTTCAATCTTTGTGGAAGTTGTCAGCCTAACTTTCCTAATCTTCAGAAAAAAAAAAAAATGTAGAAGGGCGAACTCTTGAATTTACATTAGTGCTTTGTCACCTCTCTATACCAGGAACTTTTTGTTTTATCTTATTTTTGTATGTAGGGCACGCAGCCCTGAATGATAGAGAGAGAGAAAAATGTTCACATAAACCCACAGGGAGCTTCCTTCCATATATTTTCATGACTTGAGTATTT